AAGTGGTGATAAACAATCAAATGTTTAATTCCATTTAATTCTCTTTGGGCTTAAGGCGGTATGGTGTCCCTGATTGTCCAAACTCGCAAACCAAGTAGCAAATAGATATTTGCACTCTAAATATGGAAAAACTTTAGCACTCAAAGATGATCACATCATTGCAACAGTTTTAATCTAACCTAATGGGGAGGTCAGAGCAGGCAGTGAGAACAGAGATGAGGTTTAGTGCTTCTAGCCCAGAAGCAGCAGGAAGGGTGGGGCAGGAACCCTGAGCAAGTTCTGGCCTCTCTAATCACAAACTTCTATCAGCTAGACCCGCCTTCACAGCGTGGCTGCCTGAGGAACAAGCATCTTAGCACGTGACCCTGTGGGGAGCTTCAGGATTCACACAATAGCCAGCAATGCTACTACTGAGGAACTGTATTAAGAATACAATTTGTCTACTATTCTTTTTTCCTTTTGCTTTTCATTTTTGAGACAGAGTTTCTTTATGTAGCCTCGGCTGTCTGGGAACTCACTCTGTAAAACAGGCTGGCCTTGAGCTCATAGGGATCTGCCGCCTCTGCCTTAGCAAGTGCTTGGATTTAAGGTGTGTATCACCACCCGACACATAATTTCTCTACTAATTTTGCAACTATCTATGAATCTATATTTATTTCCATGTACAGGGTCTAAACTTGTTTCCATATACAAGGTCTCAGGTTGGTCTCAAACTCTTAATACCTGGTCCCTCAGCCTCCAGAGTGGTAGGATTGTACGTGCTACCATACCCAGTGAGTGACAGGATTAAAGATGTGTCACCACACCCAGCAAGTAAAAAGAAAGTTAAAGAAAAAAATAGTTACAGGCTTCCTTTCCACAGCCCCTAAAAAGAGTACACTCTCTGCTCTAGTTTCTTTCTGTTACTGCATTGAAACAGTCTGCTGACTAGGCGGGTGGTGGTGGTGCACACCTTTAATCCCAGCACTTGAGAGGCTGAGGCAGGCAGATCTCGGTGAGTGTGAGTTTGAGGCCAGCCCAGTCTAGAGTGAGTTCCAGGACAGCCAGGGTTACACAGAGAGAAATCCTGTCTCAAAAAACTAAAAAACAAAAAAAAGGGAATTAAAATTCATAAAAAAACAAAAACAATCCCACTGTGATCAAAAGCAACTTGGGGAAAGCAACTTATGGGAAGAAAAGGTTGATTTGGCTTACACTTTCAAGTCACAGCCCATTACTGAGGGAAGTCAGGGCAGGAAGTCAAGGCAGGAAGCATGGAGGAATACTGTCTGCTGGTTCAATCTCCGCTTCACACTTAGCTGACTTTTTTTTAAGTTATTTTTATTATTTTTAACTATGTGCATGTGTGTGTATCTATATGTGTATGGACATGTGAGTGCAGGCGTCCACAGAGGTCAGAGATACTGGGTACCCTAGAGCTGGAATTAGAGGTGGCTGGGGGGGTCACCTGATGTAGGTGAACTTAGGTCCTTGGGAAGAGTAGTAGTACCTGTGTGTGACTACTGAGTCATCTCTCCAACCCCTTAGGGTATGCTTTCACACAGCCCAGAACCACCTGTCCAGGGAATGGCCCCACCTGTGGTGGTCTAGGTACTGTGCCATGAATTTTAACAATCTGAACAGTCCCTCACAGACATGCCCATACATCAACCTGACAGGACATTCAATTAAGGCTCCTTTTTCACGTAATTGTAGGCTGTGTTAAGTTGATAAGTAATACTAACTGGACACTAATTCAAACGCCTGGAAAGCTCTGGCAAAGTCAGAGAATTATGGTCAAGTTTTCCCTTCATAGGAAAGGAATGGAATCAATGCTTATTTATTATTTCACCAATCAATATTTATAGAAGGTTTACTGAGATCCGAGGCTTGTGTTGGAAGCTAGGAAATTAATGATTTAAGATCCCCTCCTAGAAAAACTGAAATTATAATAAAAAGGGCTAATGTGATAACAACCTTGGCATAGCATTCTAAAAATTCCTTCATGGCATCACTTACGAATTGTCTGACAGTCTTCCAACTTTCTACTCTTTGGGGTACTGACGTCCCAATCTGCAAAATAGAATAATACATGTATGCATGTGTATATATATAATATATATATACTATATACATATTATATGTTATATATATTATATATTTAATCTGAGCCTCTGGATGTATTCAAAGATACATATAAATTACCTGAAATAAGTATATGCACATTTCCTAGGAAGAGAATTTTTCTAGACCCTATGCTGGCTAAATCATAAAGGCTTTAGAAATGAATTTATTATTTTTCAATTTAATTCCAGATTCCCTCTCCTTTCTAATATTCCATGATTCATATAAACCTCAAAGGTCCCCACTTCCATCTCTAACAGCCCATGATTCCACTGTGGATGGAAATGGGACAGAGATTGAGATGCTGATTCCCAGACATCCCTTCCCAAGAGGAAAAGGGTTAATTCTAACCCGGAACCCTGTGCTCTGTGCCTTACCCTCGCCAACTCTCCCATTCCACTTCTCAGCCTCTCTCCAGATCCTACCCACTTCCCAATCTAGCCTGCAATTTAAGTTTTGGCTTTACTTAGCATAGGACTTTATACAGACAACACCTTCTAGAAAACTCTTAGGGAATCATAGAAAAAGGATTCTATTATATTTTAATATATTTTTTCAATAATTTCATACACGCATACAATGTTTTTGATAACAGTCATTGATTCCTGCCAGTAACTTCTTCCAGCTCCACCTCTGACTTTTTTCATTTTAAGTGGGTGTGTGTGAGAGAGAGGAGAGTTCATCTGTGCAAAACAGAGTGCAGATGCTGGCAGAGGCCGGACATTAAATCCTCTAGACCTGAAGTTACAGGTGGTGTGAGCTACCCTACCTACCTGGGTGCTGAAAACCGGAAGCTTGGAGCTGGGGTGGGGACAGGGTTTTGCCATGTAGCTCTGACTGGCCTAGAACTCACTATGTAGACCACGCTAGTCTCAAACTCACAGAGATCTGCCTGCCCCTGTCAACTCCTGGGATTAAAGGAGAGCACTGCTATACCTGTCTCTTTCGGGACAGGGTTTCTGACTGTCCTGGCACTCACTCTGTAGGTCAGGCTGGCCTTGAACTCAGAGATCGGCTTGCTGGGATAAAAGGTGCCGCCACCACCCAACCACAGCATTCACTCTTAACCAGCCATTTCTCTAGCTCCAGGGAACATATCATATGGAACCTCTGTCCCTTTCTGGAAGATGGAGATACAAACCTTATTTGTGAGCAAGCTGTCAAACAGAATACGCCATCTGCCAGAAGTTGCCAGAGATTACACTTTTGCTGGTATCATCTCCGAATTTTCACAAACTTCCATGAGGTCAGCTCTCTTACATCTAGATCTCGTATTTTCGATAAGAAAACTGTAGCTGAGAGGCTGTAGGCAGTGTGACTAATGAAAATGTGTCTCTGTGTGTGTGACATGCGCACATGAGTGTACAGGTGTGTGAGAAGGCCAGAGGAGGGCGTCTTACTGTTGCTCTGCCTTGAGATAGGGCCACCGACTGAGTTTAGAAGCGCATAGGGTTTTGGCTACGTTGGGGAACCAGTTCTTAGATTCACCTCCCTCTGGCCCCCAACACTAGGGTGATAGGTGAGCTCAGTCACACCTTGTTTTCTCACATGGGTGCAGGAGAATCCAGAACCTCATGATTTTGCAGCAAGCACCCTTACCGAGTCACCTCCCTCGCTCTGAAGACACTTTTTAAAGCCCAGTCTTTCCCAGAGCTTTATTTACTCCTCCCAACAACTGGGCGGTAGGTATTATTTACTGCTAGGGGTGCTAAAGCAAAGAAACCCTGCAAAGAGGATGCCACCAGACAGCCCGACTCCAACTCTCCAAACAGCAGCTGTTCAACACAAATATACCACAAACTGTATGTGTAATTACAAATTTTATAGCACCTGTATTTCAAAAAAGACACAGGTAAAATTAAAATAATATAGTTTATTTGACTCAAAATACACAAAATAATATAACATGTTCCAACGTGTAATAAATATAAAACCTTTTTCTTTACCTTCACAGAGGCACGAGTATTCTACATTATAATACATTTCAATTCGGGGTATTTACATTTCAAAGGTTCCATAAATACATGTGGCTAATGGACACATTACAGTAATTACAGTTCACTCACTAATCCTAAAATTAAAAGCAGTACCCACAGAACCACCTGTCTCTTGTCTTTTTAGAGGACAAGCAAAAATAATGACAAAGAACCCTCGTGCATTTGCATTGTGCCAGGAAGTATATTAAGAATCTTGCCCAAGTATTTTGTCATCCTCAAAATAAGGTGAGTTCTAGTGCACTCACGCAGGCGGGAGGGTGTGTGTGTGTGTGCACTTCTGCAGCCTCTAAGTTTACAGGATTGAGTCTGCCTGCTCTCTCTCTCTCTACTTTCCTTCCTTCTGTCCCCCCTTTTTTTCTTTTTCCTTTTTTTTCCGAGGCAGGGTTTCTCTGTGTAGCTCTGGCTGTCCTGGAATGCTCTTGTGTAGAGCAGGCTAGCCTCGAACTCACATATATCCGCCTGCCTCTGCCTCCTGAGTGCTGGGACCACGCCTGACTGAGCGTTATTTCTTAAAATAGTCGAAGCCCCTATCACGCTGTCCCACCCGGGTGATCCGTCAAGCTCCGCCAAGGCCCTGGTCAGTCCTCACACTGACCCAGGACTGTTGACGATCCGCCCCGATCCTGGTCCAGCACCCGCCCTAGCAGGCGCAGGTCACCTGCAAGCCTAAGTGGCCCGTCGGCAGAGTCGCCTCTCCTTCTATCTCTTTCCTCTCCAATCTGGAATCCTCTTGAGACCCAGATTTCGACTGCGATTCCGACTCCTGGTCAGTCTCCGTCTCCGCTCTCCCTGCCTCCCTCTTCTGCCGCTCCTCCCGGAACAGACGATACTCGGAGGTGCTGTCCGAACTTTCGGAAGAGCTGACTTCTGCGTTCCAAAAGGCCTTGGCCAGGTCATACTTCACGTGACTGCCAGGGGGCGGGGCTTCCGGGATCGTGCGCCTAGGTCCGCTCCTAGGGAAGCCCGCGGAGTCGCCCATTTCCGGCCGCTACGGAGCTTTGCAGGTGGAGGTAAGCTCGGCTCTCCCTCGCCCTCTCCTGAGCCCGCGTTCCCCAAGGGCAGCGCTGCTTCTGCCCATCCCTCTCTTTCCCGTCTTCGCGCAGACGCAGAGCCAGCCTGTAGCTACGGGACAAAGAGGGTGACGCCGAGAGCCGTAGTCATGGCGGCGCCGGAGCCCGGCCTGGCCGCCCCGAGCCCCGTGGCGCCGCCGGAACAGCAGGAAGGAGCCGGCGACTGTGCGGACCCCGCGCCCGACTCTGTGAGCTCCGCGGCCCCGGAACTCCCCGGCAGGCCCGCAGCTTCGGACGCGGCTCTGCAGGCTGAAGTCACCCCGCGGTCCGGCGTGTCTCGGCCGGGCCCCGAGACGTTTCGCCAGCGTTTCCGGCAGTTCCGCTACCAGGACGCGGCGGGTCCCCGGGAGGCCTTCCGTCAGCTGCGGGAGCTGTCCCGCCAGTGGCTGCGGCCCGACATCCGCACCAAAGAGCAGATCGTGGAGATGCTGGTGCAGGAGCAGCTGCAGGCCATCCTGCCCGAGGCGGCCCGGGCCCGGCGGCTGCGGCGCCGCGCAGACGTGCGCATCACTGGCTGAGCAGCGGAGCCGGGGGCTCCTTGGACCCTACCCCGAGTTAATGAAAGTTGAATTTTGACAGCTTCTGTGATCTGGTGTGTCGTTCGTCCTCTATTGGGCTCATTTCCCGAGCGTGTTCCCCACCTTTCCAGTTGATAAGAGGATTCCGGGAGCCTGTTAGAGTAGCTTTACATACTATTCCTGGACCCCTGGGTGGGGGGCGGGGGATGCGCAGGACTTTGCCCTTAGGCAGGAAATTCATCTCACCCTGTTGATTAGCTCTAGGCCATCCCTCTACCACGTTCGCAGTTTTTCTGAACCTGAGTTGTCTTGCAGAATGCTAATGATGGTTGTCGTCACCTAGTGTTCAATACCACCCTCTCCCTTGCACTAGCTAGTATCGAGCTTGAGCAATAAAATGGGTGGTCCTATTAAAAGCTCAGCTCAGTGTTGTGGTTCTTGCTTTTAATCTCAGCACTGGGGGGAGGTGGTTGGAAGGGGGGCTAGGCCCAGCCTGGTCTACATAGTGAGTTCCAACCAGGGCTATGTAGAGACCCTCTAAAAATACAAAACAAAAAACTGATCAGGCAACAACTGATGTTAACAAGGAAAATGAAATGGATCTTAAAGCTTCACTTCCTTGTAAATGAATCTTAAAGCTTTCTGTTTGGTGGCTTAAAGATCAGTGATTGCAATCCACACAGTGGACATTGTCTTTAACACTGTTACATGTTATATATGTCCACACACACACACCACAGTATACAGGTGTCCAGTAACTAACGCGGATGAAAGGGCTTGGCCCCTGTCTCCTTTTGGTCAGGGTCTACTGGCTTTGCATGTGTAGGTGATTATCATTAGAGAAATGTTTTGACTAAAACTAATAGAGGGTTCATGACCTTTGTTAAGAGCAGATTGGTGACCATGACCAGAGCCTATACTGTATACTATGAAGAGCATCTGCTCCCTGGAGTGAAGCACAAACAGAAACCTTTCTCAACCCCTAATGCTCCATTTGTACAATGGTTTTCCATGGAATGACCTTGGAACGTGTTAACATTACTGGAAGTCCTCATTTTAATGTATTCAGGGGAGCTCCTGTTTTTAACACTTTTCTCTAATCCTCAACTCTACCAAGAGAAGAAATTTTTCAAGGAATGAAACATCCGGGTTTTCTTGAGACTTGTTGGGGGAGGGGATAGTTTGGGTCTATAGAAAGCTTGGGTTTATTCTAGAGTGGTGGGTGAATCTCAGTGTAGAGAAGGCAAGGCCCTTGCATTACTTCCAGCAACCAAAACTGGTAAATCTGCAGCTTCCACCACAATGCATGAGCCAGACTTGGGTAGAAGCTGATATGAGCGTCTAGCTTTGGATGATTTCAAAGCATCTGGTTATGCTTTCCTGGAATTTCTTGACAGAGTCTGTGTCTGTCTCCCTGTACAAGATTATCACAGAAGAGCAGGCATGCTATAAAACATTGATTATATATCTTAAAAGTAGGGTGAAACATTTGATTCTTGCTGGGTTATGGTGGTGTACTCAGGAGACTAAGGCAAGATGACTTCAAATTTGAAGCTTGTCAGATGACATGCTCAAGGCCAGCCTGAGACCAGCAAGACTGTCTAAAAAACAACCAGGCATGTGCCATAAGACTTTAATCCTAGCACTTAAGGCAGAAGCAAGGGATTTCTGGGAGTTCTGGAACAGTCAGCTACATCCTGAGACCTTGCCTCCAAACTAAAAAAAATCACAACCTTTTATATTCCAGTAATATGTGACTGACACATAGCAACAAGAACCTGTTTTATTTTTTCCAGATACAGAAGTTTGCATGGTTTGCAAATATTGCTTGAGAGCAACACTCCTATGTACAGTGCCTTCTGTCTAATAGCATGTAAACACAGTACGTATCCACAGTGCAATGTTGGCTCAGCCAGGATCCACCTTGCATACATACTTAAATGACTATCAAACCAGAACTGTTGTGTGAAGGCAACTTTGTATAGGTGGACAGCTTTCTAAACAGACAGAACTTCATGCACGTTTTCCTAAATGGTATCTGCATTGTTTGCAAGTAACAGATTCTAGTGCTCCAACTTAAGAGTTAGTTCACTGTGACCCAGGAACTGGGAGTGGAGCCCCTCAACATGGCTTTAATTTAGGGAAGAACTGCGGTTATTAGAACACGGGGAGTTTGCTTTGTTTCCCTAAGAACAAAAGTCACAATGAAACCAGATCATTTCCTTCACAAAACCTAAATGATAAACGCAGCAACGACCACATCGCAGAATCAGGACCACCAGCTTCTGCTTCCATGTTTGAACAAGACGCAATGGGCTGCCTTCAGAGTTAGTCCCTGATGGAATTTTCTAGGGCAGTACAGAGAAGAAAACACCTCAATTTAAAAACCTTTATTACATTTGTTTAGCGTGTGAATGTGTGTCAGAGGGCAACTTCAAGGTATCAATTCTCTCTACTGTGTGGGTCCTGGGGATCGAACTCAGGTCAGTAGGCTTGGTAGTAAACACCTTTGCTCACTGAGCCATCTTTCTGGCCCCCAAATCAGTACCTAATATAACAATCATCATACCTCATACAGTTGTAGCAATAGATAGTTATCTTGGCTCTTCAGACAATCACCATCCAGTTCTCAAGATGCAGCCATCTAATAAATCACCCAGAACATCAATGTCATATGGAGCATTTCTTCCCCCAACAGAAACATGAGTGCTGGCAGCGGGAAGCAGCCTTTTGTAAGGGGCTATGTTACACTCTTTATGTGCCACACACTCCTTAAGCTGTGCCAGGTCAACTCATGCTTGCCCTGCAGCTCATTTTAGAGCAGATGGTGAACAAGTCACTAGACAGGGCATTCATTTCCTGAAACTTCTCTGTACACAGGCCTCAATGACCTGTTGTGCCTAAAGCTTACTCATTCCCAAGGCAGGGAGATGCTGTTACTAGCTACTGAGACTGGCTCCTTGATGTTTATATAGTAAATATTTGCAACCTAAAAAGTTACAGATTCCAAAACTCATGATGAACCTGTGGGTGTTGATGGATAAATGTACTTTGATATTTGCCTTTAGTGATGCAAAAACTGGTAAAATGAAGTCCTCAAAGCATGGAACCTTTTAAACATTGTCTAGTAAGGTAAAACAAAACAATACAGCAATTACACATGGAACCAGACCTGCAAAATAACACAAATATTCTTTCCGAAGGTACAAACAGGTTGTACCTGGACCTTAAGCAGCATAATCACCTTGATTTTACAAGTAATACAACCAGGACACTGAAAGTGTTAAGAGTGCATCAGCAACCCTGCAGATGCCGGCGGCCACGCTGGCCTCCAGGAGGAAAGTGGCACACAGAATCTCCACTGCTGATGGTAATAGAAAATAAAGGTAATTCCCACATTCTTTGTTACAAATCTTTACAGTAAAAGTTCAAAATCTTGGGAAACATTTTTAACTTTAAATAAAAGCGGGAAGATGTTGAAATTAACAAGTGTATAGAAAATGCTGTCCTTTGGGTTCCAGACCCTGTCTGCTTCCTTCTGGAATTCCTTGTCAATTCTCATTGCAACAAGATTCTACCTCTTCCTTCAGACGTTTTGGCTTCGCTGCCATAGCCATAGCCCAGTCAACTCTGGGGTAATAAACATAAAACCTTGTCCCCTGTACCGTGAAATCCTGCAAGAGCCGTGGCAAGAAAGTGAAGTCTTAGGAGCAGTGCTGTCGAGGCCCCTGTTCCTCCTTTCCAAACTGTGCAGCACAGTGAGGTCCCAACATTCCAGTGAGGCTGAAGGATGAAAATGGTGCCTGCCTGCTGCCCAAACACCATGTCAGGCAGAGAAACCAGAGGGGTTGGCACATGCCTCAACCTGACACAAAAGTCAGTTAAATAAACCGTGAATTGAATTTACAACTGTTTCCAACTAGATTTTTTTTTTGGCTCTCACTCCATTTATCATCAGTGGCACGATTCCAAGGAAGATGTGCAAAGACTTGCTTCGTTCAACAATGTGCACAGAAAGACAGAAAGGGGTGCTAAGACTGCACTGCCTTCGTAGTCGGCTTCCAGATCAAGAGTGCCCTGTCCTCCTGTCCTCCAGCACTCATAATGGTCTCTGTCCCAGTGTCCATCACACTCCTGGCCAAATCCCTGAAGTCAGTCAGTATCACGTGCATTCAGCATGCTAAGTTTATTTACTTAAATATGCGAAGCTCCCCTGGCAGATGGCCAGGATTGTGCTCCAATTGTCTTGGGTGCCCAATTTCATGTCGAGCAGCAGAGGGCAATCTGCTGCACCTTGCCCAGGTCAGTCAGCAGCTGCTTGATGCAATGCTTGAGCTGTGGAAGCCTGGCCAATGGCTCTGGGGGTTCTAGTTCCCCAGTGTAGTCCAGCCAGCTCTCCAGTACTGCAGGTGGAAGAGAGAGAGAAGATCCAGTGAAGGCTTAGAACTTGGCTTAGAAAAACCTCATCACAAGGCCATTTCAACCCATGCTGCCCTCAGTATTAGCACCCCACAAAGTACTGAGCCAGGGCACAAAGCTCTAATGTTTAGACTAGCAAGTGAACTATCCCCATAGACTTATGTGTTGAATGCTTGGTCCCCAGCTGGCGATGCTATCTGGGGAGGAAGTAGGCCACTAGGGGTGTGCCTGGATTCCATCCTCTCTCATGCCAAGACATAGACAGGTGCCATGACAAGACCAAGTAACCATGAACTGGACTCTCTGAAATCATACGCTACTTAAGCAAATTTTCCTTCAAGTGGTTTGTCAGGTATTTGGTGACAGCAATGACAATATAAATGCTTCTGACAGTACGGGCACCAAGTCCTAGTTAGTGGTGGAAAGAATGATCTACATCTATGCTCCCCAATACAGTGGCCACCAGCCAAATCAGACACAGCTGCTGAGCTCTTAAAGAGGTGCCAGTGCACCTAAAGAATGCATCTGAGTTGTATTCACTTTTAATTATGTTAACTAGTCACACAATCTAGCTGCTACTGTGCCAGAGCAGAGTCCAGAGGCCCTGAAGACCAACCCGAGTCATGACCAGTCTTTCTAAAGCTTTTCCATATAAATAGGGCGGGCGGGGCTGCTAGAAAAATTAAGCGTCTACAGGGACTTTTAAGTTTGGTTTTTTTTAAATCCGTCAATTCTGATTTGCTTCATATTAGTATGTGATACATAATTAGCAGCACAAAAAATACTTTTTTCGCCCTTTAAGAAGTTAGTGTAAGCCTGGTGTGATGGGGACAACTTTAATTCCAGCAATCAGGAGGCAGAGATGAGAAAAGCCTAGTCCATACAGAGAGACTCTGTTTCAAAAACTAATCTAGCCTGGCAGTGGTGGTGGACATCTTTAATCTCAGCACTCAGGAGGCAGAGGCAAGCAGATCTCCTTGAGTTTGAGGCCAGCCTGGTCTA